TAATAAATATATATATTAAATGTATTAAATATTTGTTCTTGTTTTAGTACATATTTACTATATTTATAAAGAAAACATCAAGATAATCTCAATTTATTAAGGAAAATCTAATATAGAAATCGTTAGAGAGAAAAAAGAAAATTTTATCACGCAGGAAATCAGATCGCGCGTAAACGACAGTAAAATAACAAACGTTTTATATAATATTCGCTTATCTCTCGTACTCGACGTTACTGGTAATGCACCGTACGATAATTATATTAATTTATATAGAATCAATATTAAACACATCCGGGAAATGTATTTTTAATGAAGTAAATACGTGGATGCATAATGTGCCGTGCGCTGAATATTACATATCGCAGGAAATAGATACTCGTAATGCAACGATACACGTGAAACCCGCAAAACTGCATTGCGACTCGCGATAATTATTCGAGATAATGAGGGAAATTCATGATTGCCAGTTTGCGAAGATCTCCGTGTTAAAAAAAAAAGGGAAAGTCATTAGTGAGTACGTTTGGACGAAGTAACTATAATTTGTTTTGGAAGAAGAATAATTTTATCCATCGTAACTTAAAGATCAAAACAATAACACGTTGTTGAACGTGTGAGCATATAAAAAAGCTTTACAAATTAAAAAAAAACCCACTAAAAGAGGCTGGCAAATGCAAAGATTCAAAAATGCTTCCGTTTGAGTAAAATGCTAACGAAGTCGATAGAGAAGGAAACCTCACGTATTTTTCTCACGTAGTGATCGGAATGGAGAAATCTCGTTCTTGATCGAAGCCATTGTCGCTGACGGCGATGCGAGAATTCGCAACATCGAATGAAAGACTCAAACTAATTCGACCGTCGAGAATACATCAATATAACAGCCACAACAAAAACTGCGGCATTAAGGAATAATGAAAGGACATCCACACTGTGCAAAAGAAAAGGGTGGAAAGGTGTAGATAACGACGGATGGCTTCTCCGCTGGCGGTCTTATCTTACGCCATGATGCCTCTTGCGTTTTCATTAAAAGACCGCCCGTTCCCTTGTTCTTGTTCCCGCTGCCGTCAACCCCCTCGTAAAAAGGCATGCCACCTCTCGAAAAATAAAAGTCGCAACAAATGTCAGCTAAGACACTCGATTCCCTTGGCATTTTTCCGCGACTTTCTTGCCACAGACAGCGGCGCGATCGTCGCGCGAATTTCATTAAAATTTTATTACACAGCAAGACGAGAGGACGGAACGGAAACGTGACGAGCGTTATTACTACGTGCTTTTATTTATTAATTATTAACTAATCAGTAAACTAAATCAATCAACTAAAATATAATCAAAATTATATCAATGTTTTTATTAGTATTTATGGATGCCAATCAAAATGTAAGTTTGTAATTATTTTAAATCAGTCGCTTCCATTAACGTAACTTAGTCTTATTATTCTTCTCATTTAATTTATCTCGAATCATTTCACACATTAAACGTTTTTAATAATTATATCATAATATTATATTAATAATTATATTATAATATATAAACTTATACATATGTACGTAATAAATTGTAAATTCCGACGTAGTTTTTCATAAAGTATCCCGTTTTATTCTGGAAGGAAAAGGTCCTTATTTAAATTTAATTATAATTAGAGTATCTTAAAAAATGTAAATGATTTATATTTAAAACACAAACATAAAACGTGTATATCTAGAAAATACATTTATTGAGTACACATGAAAGTTCATATGTCTTTTACTCAAACATCGTGTCAGAAGAAAAATATCGTTTGCTGTTCTAATGCTGTAGACTATCGATAGTTGTTGTTGCGTGAGAGAGTGAGAAGGAACTCAAGGAACAACGAAGGAGGTAAGAGTAATCCCTATTGTTTCTCCTGTCCCATAAATCCTACTAGCGCTTCCTACGCCTCTCTAGAGCTCCGCTCGCGCTTTAACCATATACAGAGCCATCCGCCCTTCGCCACTTTCTACCAACTTCTCGTCTCAGCAACATGCCCCGTAAATCTCTGACCAGCTGTGCTTTACGATACGTACGCGGTTCTCGTAAAGATACAAGAGGTCTTATTCGTCATTTGACTGACGTCGTTGGAATTGTTTAAAAATCAATCTTATTAACGATATCCTTTGATGAGCAAATCTTGTCGTTTCGAACACAGTAATATCGACTCATAACACTTATTATTTAGTATTAGTAGTTCCAAAAAGAAAACGTAATCTTATTTAATTAATGTAAATATTGTATCTCTAAATCTTCGTTAATTCTTACTTTTAATATTTTAGGCAAGAAATCGATAGTTTTTTATTCTAGGTTATTAGTTGTAGTACTGATCATAATTTATGATAATATTATGTGTGATTAACTCATATAATAATTATACTATAGCTGCATAATATTAACTTTACATACAGTTAATAATATACGTAATTTGATTTGTACATAGTGTAACCATATTAGATGAATTAATAATATCATCATAAGTTTGTTAGATGATCGCAATTATTTTTAAGAAATTTCATTTTTATACAATTTGTGAAGAAAGACGATGGGTTAATGATTTTTACCACAGAAGAAAACATTGATCCTAGATGTCAGTTCTATAAGTCAGTTCTAAGCAGAATCGTAAGACTCTTAACGAATTCTCGTAAAACTTGTAAGAACTTATGACTATTATTTTAATTTTATGTGTATGTATCGTAAAACGTACTATTATTCGTAAATATATACGATTTCTTGTAAATTTTATGGCTAGTACGAAGCTGTCTGTAAAAATAAAAGTATAAGCACTTTAAAAATTCTTGCAAGCTTATAAAAATATATTATGAGCCTTATGATTCTGCTTAAAATTTAGGCATTAGACTTTCTATTTACAGATATATGTCGTTAGATATTTGCCATTAATACGAAATGATTTGTCAAAAGTATAGGGTGGGCCATCTATTGGTACGTTTTTGAATTTCGTCGTATGGCAACACCGAACGAGCTACAGACCCGAAATTTTGACAGTTTATTAGTCATACCGTCCGCGGCACGAAACAACATGTTTTCTCTTGAAGAGCGTTTTGAAATTTTAAAAACTTATTTTCAAAGTCAGTGCTGTGTCGCCGAAACTGTACGAATTTTGAAAAGAAATATGGAGCACCGAAGGAGCTATACGCAAATTGGTGAGGAAAGTTCGTGAGAAAGGGATGTTAGTGGATGACAGAAGTGGTCCCAGAGCTCGGACAGTGCGCACACCCGAGAATATTGAGGCTGTGGCCCAAAGTGTGAGACAATTCCAGCTTTGAAAAACAATAGTCCAAAATGTCATTAATAATTGGGGTGACCGAATGGCATACTGTAAGGCCAGTAGAGGGAGCCACATGAACGAAATCGTTTTTCATTCTTGACGCGGATACTTTTAGCTTCACAACAAAAAAAAAATTAATAAAAAATATCAATGTATGCTCATTTGATCGCATTTTTAAAAACGTACCAATAGATGGCCCACCCTGTATATTCGAATACTTACGATATACATACAATGTTCTCTTCCATTCGTCACACTGAGATGAAGTTTCCTGGAAATATCTTTTATATATGTATTGCAAGACATTTCCATAACGGCGTTTACGATTTCTGAGGCTTTGACAGGGGTGCTTTGCACCTCTAACACGCCAAGGGGTTTACTACGAGGTCTTATATCAAATATAGGTTACTTCGATCGTCAGTAAGCCGCTTAATTTATGACAGCGGCTTTAGTAAATAAGATACTTTACTAAAGCTGTACGTTTACCATACTCCTTATCCGACAATATAATTCTGATTTGATCTCGTCGTGAAAAAAATACCACCATAAAGAAAAACCTATAAACTTGAAAGTTAATCAATATAAACAAAATTTAAAAAAGTATATAAATTTATAAATGCTAATAAACAGCATGTAAATTAAATAAAATGAATATAGAAGTTCAAACTAACTATCTAATCTCTGATTCACTTAATTTTATTGAATTAAATTAAATTAAAATGTGTTATTTAATTTAATTACATTAAATTGTAAATTATTTATTAGATTAAACTGTGTATGTTGTTTAAACATTAAGAATCTTATTAGACCGTACGTGAGAACACAACCAATAAGAAATAGGAACGGCCATAACAGTCGAAACTGGATCTTTGATGCCTAAATAATTCAATATGAATTTATATGTATTATATATATATATATATATATATATATATATACACAACATATATATTAGATGGTAAACTTAATTCTTGCCGACTCCAACACCGACGAGTTTCGACAGTAAACTATGACATCGCATGTCTTTTGTAGTTTGGACATTGCTGAAAGTGATTCAGTCCTCACAAGTTAGATTTCTCGACACCAAAGAGATTTTCCAATCTATTGAAAATGAATTGTGATAAGCTATTTTTCTGACATGTGCTTCTTCATTTCTTCGACCTCAAAAAAACCACAGTTGAAACGCATCGCTTGTTATTCGAAGTGTATGGTGATGAAACTTCATCGAAAAGAACATGTAGAGTTTGATTTGAACACTTTTGAAACGGTGATTTTGATCTGAGAGATAAAGAACATCCCGGACAGCTGAAAAAATTTAAAGATGTCGAGCTGCAAGAATTGCTTGATGAGGATCAACATAAATGCTTTTAAAGTTGTCGAAAGTATTAAATGTTACTCAAAACGCTTGCGTACCATGGGAAAAAATTTGGAGACGAAAAACGGCAAAAATTAAGTTTACCACCTAATTCTATATTTGTAGTCATTTTGAATTGCGCGCCGATATTTTATATTAGACTTAAAAACGTAATTAAACTACTAATGAAATAATATCACATTTAAATTCTGATGCTCAAGAGACATCTACTAAAGAATTCTTAATACATTGGAAATCTGTAAATAAATTTATTTGTATTAAAATTTTTTTAAATGTATATTGTTTATTTTATTAAAGCTTTATTTCTTTAATCAAATGTTTTTTGCATTTCAGATCGAAGATGCTATGCTGATGTTCGACAAGCAAACTAACAGGCATAGAGGTAAGTACACTTTTCCTTTCTTTAACATGTCACATTATTACGAAAAAACCGTTGCAATTTCATTGCGTGCAAATGTGTCAGAAATATGTCTGAAACTATCCTATTTAACGAGTCAATAATGTCGCCATTCCACCGGCGCGGAGGTAATTAACGAGCCCGAGTTGAAGCTATAATTAGTAATCACGGTAAATCGCAAGCCGCGGTAAATACGGGGGAAGATAAATAACATAAATTTCCGGATATGTGCTGCCTACACAAATCGTGACGGCATTTTGCGAATTCATGGCACGCGGATCGATAGTCGCATAGAAGAACTTATTGCGAAGCATGAAGGAACGCGTGATTAGGAACGAAATAAAAAAAGAACGTGTTAAAAAAGTAATCCTTATTGCGTTTGAAACCTCAAGAGATTAAACGTTGATTTAAAAGTTTCTTACATTTTTGAAATGATTAATGGTCGTAAATTTTGTTTTCCATTGCAATCTGGCAATTAATTTTTAAAACTGTATATATCTATTAACTCCATATTTTTATGAAAGACAAAAGAACTGTTTAATTTGATGCAAAAAATTTGACTAATTAAATGCTTATGTATAAGTTATTTCATATATGTGCCAATAATAAATAAAAAACAAAAATCACTCTCAAAAAAATTAATTTTTAATCAATCGTCAGATAAGTTTAATAATATATTAATCTGCTAAGCCGATTTAATCAAACCATCTTTGTGATAATGAATATCATAGAGTGATAATTGCAATAACAATTTATTTTATCAATCAATTCATTCTTTAATCTTCGATCTTCAAATTTTTTATTTTTTTCTATTTCCTTATTTACGCTCCTTTTTATAGAGAGAGAATGAGAAGGAGTCAACTCATGGAACAATGAAGGTCCCATAAATCCAATTAGCGCACTCCTCATATTCTTACCAAAACTTAATGTAAAAGTGGAAGGTCAAGATTAAAAGCTTTCGATTTCAAATAAAATAGATGCGTCTAAGAAATTTTTATGCGGCACTTTGCTAACGCGGTAGGGGAGGCGATGGAAACGTTATTGAGATCGCGCGAGGAGCGCATGTCCGCAATTGAAAATCGACTGAACAGGGAAGAAGGGTGGAGAGGTCGCGATGAATGAAATATCGCGGCAACCGCGATAATATATAGAGCAGCTCGACTCTCAGCCGTTCTCCTCTGTCGAGAGCATAGCGGTCTTTGCGATCGGCACAAGTCTGGATCCATTCACGTCGTCGTTCCAATGGGATCGATAATCGTCAGCGATCGTGGTACCCTACCTTGCAGATAATCGGAGTGAAGGAGAAGGGAGTCTTTCTCTCTCTTTTTTTATCGATACCTACTACTTTCATAGCTGTCGTTTCTAGAGCGGAGGCGAGCGTCTGGTCGGGCTCCGATGATAGATTCTAATATCGCTTATGAAAAATAGGGGCAAATGGGATATGAGAGTTGGCGCCCTTCAGTACGGGGGAGGTTCTTCCCTATCGAGTTGCTGAAGAAGACCGGGGGAGAGGGGAAACACTGAAGGTGCGTCGCGCATCGCGCGAACAGCGAGGAAGTAGGGTAGCTGAAATAGCGACGCGCGAATCGACGCTGGTGGATGAAGAGCGAAGGAAGAAGGGTGAATGGAAGTGGAAGTGAGATAGGGGGGCTCTTTCAAAGCCGCACGTAATCTCTCTCGTGATGACATCCAATACCGTCCCCGTACGACGACGAGAGTCTACGAACCTCAAACCTCGAACTGCTGCTGCTTCTACTGCTGCTGCTGCTGCTGCTCGTCGGTAGATTTCGCGATATGGTACTTCCCGCATCCGGTCCCTGACCCCTAAGAGGATCATTCTCAGATTCTTCGGTAGACATACCGTGAAAAATTTCAAACGAAATACGCGCAACGAAGATATTTATCCTCGCACTTGATATTTTCGATCGGCTAGTCTCCCACTCGTGAGTGAGAAAACTCATATGTACATATATCTTCATGCTTAATAAAACATGTTCTAGAGATGCTTTACTTAATACTTCGACCATCTCTTTCAAATCGTAAATTTTTATCAACAACGTACTTATGTAGCCTTACGATTTGAATGATTATACAAAACTACAATTATGCACTATATTTTATAACGAATAAGTTTTTAAACTAAAGATTAATAAATGTTAAATTCATTAATGTTCAATACTTATCATAGCTTCTTAAGGATATATTACGCATATTTTTTAGTAAAATGAAAAATTATGAAAAAAATAGATTTTTCTACATTGCATTATTTATGCAGAGGTAGGGGAGACCAATCGTCATACAGGGTTTGATTGTCAAAAAGCTAATAACTTAATTAGTATACATAGTAGAGCATTCATCTTCTTTTTGCTACAGATTATTGATATAGTATTAAATTGTTGTGTAAAATAGTTTTCGCCAAAAACGTCATATCATTTACAATAACTTTTAAGAAATTGAAGCTGTTAAGTAAATTTTTCTTAACTTCTTTTTTGTTTTTAATTAGTTTTTAGCATTATCATTGTAATAAATTTTGTGAATAGAATTTCTTACAACTGAATATGAATGAGATAAATTGACCAAAATGAGCGGCAGTCAATTTGAATCTCTTTAGATTGACACGTTTTAAAGAATATATATTTACGAATTTATTATTTTATTTAAATATACGTATTCTTTTAATTTTTTGTATATATAAGCTATATACGAAAACAAGTTACATGTTTTATGATTAAAATATTATTTTACTTATATCAATACTATAATTCCTATTATTTAGAAATGACACTAAAAACTGCATTTTCTATATATTTTATCCAAATAAAAAATATGTAGTTAACCTTGGAATCCCGAGTATAAGGAGTTAATTGTCACATTTTCGCAGCTTTATTTAAAACTAAATAACTTATTTGTACAAAGATGCATCAAATTCAAGAGTGATATTTTTTTAATATGTAGGAGGATGTAGATATATTATAACGTCATATCATTTACAATAACTTTTAAAAAAATGAAAATTGGATCCTTTTTTTCTGTCTCATAATTTGAATAGGGATATGTATTTGGAATTGCTAGAAGATATCATTGAATGTTAACTAAAATTATCGATGATGAGCATTATCTCGAAGATCAATTGATTTTCTAACAGGACAGAGTTCCTTTATATTATGCATGGCTCGTTCGTGAATATTTGATTAAAATTTTCATGGATTGGAAGGAGAGGTGCTATTAAATAGCCTCCTCGAATTTTCGCCATTTGATTCTTTTTGTGGAATCACTTAAAAAGTAAAATTTATGCAATACAATCAGTTTCTTTGAAAGACGTCAACATATATCATATCGTAGACAAATGCCGTCAAATCAATCAGCCCATAAATGCTCCAGAATGTACGACAATATTTCGAGCAGAATCTCTTAATTATTGTATGGAAATCGGTGATCAACATTTCGAACAATTACTACACTAAATTACACGATGGTACGTATTTAGACATCCCTTGAAACTTATTAATGGACTGATTCGATAGACAATAAAGAAAAAGATTTGAAGACATAAAGATTTGTTTGTTTTAGATTTAACACTCCGTATCTTCTAAACGAATTGATCGAGTTAAAAAAATCAAACGTAGGAATTTAGGAAATTGAAAGACCTTTCTAATGATGTATCATTTGATCTCGTTTCCCATTTGAAATTTTTTAGAGATTGGCAACCTCCCGGTTAGGGGATTGAAATTGAGGGTATAAGAATTATACGTCAAAAGAAGTCCCCCTTCCAACACAAATCGACCTGTTCTTGGGTTTTTTTGAAAAATCATTTTTGTAGGAATTCAGTCTATTTCGTTTTCGATGGATTATCCTGTATAATATAATATATATAACATTTATTTTTGTAAAATAAATGTTATAGGAAGGTATAAGTTTCCAATTTCAGTCATTTTGCACAAATGATACCCGATACATCTTTAGTAGATATAATTATAGGGTATATAATATAAGTATATAATTTTATAATATTCGAATTTTTTTTCTTTTAAGACCTAATTTTAAAAAACTTATTGACGAGCTTATATTTGAACAGTTTTATTAATCTAGTTATATAATGCATTTTTAGCAATATCAATAATCACCTTCTGCGAGACTTATCTAGTTTCAAATTCATTTCTCAGTGATTGTAATACTTTTTTCAAGTACACTCGATTTCGATCTGCGTTCGATCGAAACGCGGCGCGTCTTTTCGAACGTTGCCATCGAATTACAAGGAGATCCTCAGACAATCTTCCGGGAGATCTCTTTACGCTCAAATCCCCGAAGAGGCAGTCGGCTAGCGGTCGTCTTACCCCTCTCTACCACCCATCCCCTTACTACGTTGTGAAGGGAGAAAAGAGAACTCCGCCGAGAACAGCCCGGCAAGCATTTCCGGACAATTTCGATTCCCGATGGCTCCCGTAGCGAGCTATGATTTCCACGTGGATGAACAGGCTGCGATTGCAGCAAAGCGAGCTTTCTCCCTCCCCCCCCCCTCTCTCTCTCTCTCTTACCGCGACGAGGAGAGACGCGTCTATAGCTTGAAGCACGATTATCCAAGCTTCGCTGGCCAAAGGATTTTCCCTCCACGGGACTCTTCCTCCCTCTCCTTCTATCGTGCGAAATCTATGAGAGGCGGTAAGGAGGAACGAGCGTATGTGTTCGTGCACGTGGCCTACACGTGTGAACTTGTACGTACATCTTCCCGGTATGACGGTGAACATACGCCGGTTCACACGGGAAGCTCATAAGTTGCGACCATATTGCTTGGCGAGAGTGTGTTGATATTCTCAGTCATAGTGATGTGGTGATATTCTGTGAATATGTGTGTACGTACGTGTGTGTATACTGACCTGTATGTTCTTAGTTGTTCGACGACAAGTCGGTCCTTCCGTTAGCTAGTGACCATCCCCCAAAAGGAGGTCTCGCTTAGCCATGTATGAACACACGTCAAAGGGACGCTC